ACATACTGAATGCCTATTGTTATGGGGGGGTGAACAGAAGAGGCATTTAGGGTATATGCCAATGAGGGCTTATGCGAATAAGCTTAATATAGTTATAATGGATAAAAAACAGCCACACTTTTTATTTATGGATTGCAAATTTATCTTCAACCTACCCAAATATGGGTGTCCCCAAAGTTGGTTGTAAATCTAGCCTTTCCTGCTGATATTATTTTGTCCCACTAACTGACCAGGACTGTCTGACCAGGATCAAGACCTTGGGGTTATAGTGGATAGTTCAAGCAAGATGTTCACCCAGTGTGTGGCAGCTGTGAAAAACACAGATTCCATGCTAGGGATCATTAGGAAAGGAAATGGGAATAAAACTGCCGATATTATAATGCTGTCATACAAAACTATGGTGCAACTCCATTTGGAAAACTGTGTGCCATTCTGGTCACCTCATTTCAAAAAGGATATTGTAGAGCTGGAAGATGCTCCGAGAAAGGCAACCAAAATGATAAAGGAGATGGAACAACTGTGAGAACAGAATGCTGGACTAGATGGGCCGTTGGCCTGATTCAGCCGGTTCTTCTTGCGTTCTTATGTGCTTACTACTAAAAACCAATAATAAAAACTTAAATACCCCTCTATTCTGCCTTGGTCAGACCTCACCTGGAATACTGTGTCCAGTTCTGGGCACCACAATTTAAGAAGGATGTTGACAAGCTGGAACGTATGCAGAGAAGGGCAACCAAGATGTTCAAGGGTCTGGAAGCCAAGTCATATGAGGAACAGTTGAAGGAGCTGGGTATGTTTAGCCTGGAAAAGAGGAGGATGAGAGGAGATAGGACAATCATCTTCAGATATCTCAAGGGATGTCACATGGAAGAGAACAAGCTTGTTTTCTCCTGCTCTGGAAAACCAAATGCCTTCAAGTTACAAGAAAGGAGATTCCGGCTAAATAGCAGGAAGAACTTTCTGACATGAATTGGACCAGTTTCTATGCCCACCAAACAGGGGAATGTCTTCTCTTGCTCTGGACGCAGAGGACAGGGAAAGTATGACTTGTGATTTGCAGCAAAGAATATTAATTGAAATGGCAGACGTGATCATTTCCATGTGATTTTTAATGTTTTATGAAGGTTTTATGCTGGTGGATTTAACTGCTGTCTGCAATACGTTACAGCGCTTTTAAAAATACTTTTAATGTATTTTTTCTATTGCGAGCTGCCCTGGGCTCCCTTTGGGGAGGAAGGCAAGTTATAGAATTGAAATAAATAAAGCACTCAGAAATGTAGGTGTGACCAAGAGGGGATGAAGACCAAAAAACCATTCTTGGTGAAAGAAAAAAGAACAGCTCACACAACTGAGTCTTTCATTTTGGGATGTTGGTACCAACCCTGGGTTTGTAAGATGAGTAGTAGCAGGTATTAATGCCAATTGGCAAATGAGTGTCAGCCATTTCCATGAAATGGAAACGTCAGATTGTATAAAGGTATCATACAATGAGTAATGTCCTAAATACAATGGTACCTCGGGTTAAGTACTTAATTCGTTCCGGAGGTCCGTTCTTAACCTGAAACTGTTCTTAACCTGAAGCACCACTTTAGCTAATGGGGCCTCCTGCTGCTGCCGCGCCACCGGAGCACGATTTCTGTTCTCATCCTGAAGCAAAGTTCTTAACCTGAAGCACTATTTCTGGGTTAGCGGAGTGTGTAACCTGAAGCGTATGTAACCTGAAGCGTATGTAACCTGAGGTACCACTGTATCCTATGCTCCAGTCTTGTTAAGAAAATGTCTTACTTTTTCTCCCTTAGAATTTTAAGTAGTTTTTGTCAAAATGTGATTTTTCAACAGTTTCAGTGCTATAATTAGCGAGGGGTGCATGTGCACCATGAGGGATATTTTTGACAAACATCACACGTATATTACTAAGCTGTATATTAAAGACTTTTAAATCAGACTTTATTTCCCAGTTCATTAAGCACCAGAACATGTACAAGTATGTTTGCAGGATATCTTATTTATGTATCAATATTCCTCCAATAAAATGAGCTCCTGGGAGAGAAAGGTGGTATGTTAATGGAAGAAATAAAACAATAAATAAAACAAATAATAAACTGACAGGACCGCAAGCAAATATCCTCACACTGAGTTTTGTGAGGTTCATTTTCACTAACTGAGAATTCTGTGGATCAGAGATGCAAATGACTGGTTTGGTCCAGTGGAGGCAAAGCATTCATGAGTCATTGTTTGGCTTCTGTCATAGATTCATACTTTACAAAGAGGACTCTGTGAAATTAAGCTAGGAAGTGCTCCGTGGGCACTTCCACACTCAAAACAGGACTGCACAATCCCAAGTCTAGCTTCGGGATGAAGTAGGAAGAAGCCAAGATTGAACCCTTGGCCAATCTGAGGGACAGGAGACTTTGGACAGCATGAAAGCTGTCTTAACAGGTGGTCCTCTCCAACTGGAAAGTTCTCCCTTCCCTCCTTATAGACTAGCAGATCATTGGATGGGAAGAGGGTGTGGGCTTTGAAACATGAGACTCACTGGCTACAGTCTGAAGAAGTAGAATCCTAGTTGGGTTGAGCCATGTGATTTTTCTGAACCTCTGTAACTACTGTACATATTATTATTATTATTTTAAAAAAACACCTGTTGATTTTCATTTTTCATTTTAGTGTATAGCTAAGCATAGGGCCACCAATAAGACAGAAACAGGCAGGTGGAGATTTAATCATTATCTCACCCCCTATGATTAGTCATGGCAGAAAGATAAGCTACACACTACACATTTAATATAATGTGTAGCTAGATGCTTGGAATCCGATACCAACTTGATGGCTTCTAATTCTTTTTCCTAGTACACAGTTGAGTTTAAGATAGCATTCAAACTGAAGATTATTTTGTCCTAACTGGCATAAATGTAAATGTAAACTTGCCTGACTGGTTGTGGGCTGGTCCCACAAAATTTTGATAAATATTTGATCTGTCGATCAACAGGATAGCGTGTGGCTCTAATAACCAAATCGCACAAGAACATTTCTTGCCAATATGCCAAGTCCTTGCAGGAGTAAAGCACTTGAGCTAACATCAATCACTGGCTTTCTTTTCATTAGCAATTGTTTTCCTTTGTTGGCGTGATCAAACTTCAGAACCAGCCATGCGGCAATAACCTCCCCCCCCCCAATTCCCGTGGTACTGAGGTGAAAGGAAACACAAGGGAAACATAACAGAGGTATTGAGTAGCACAGCATGCCGAATTTTGCTAAGCATCCATTGCCAGCAGCACATCGATCATCAGCAATGGCGGTGATGACATTTCATCAGAGAGGTGATTTTGGACATCATCAGAGAAACAAAACTGGAGAAAATGTAATCCGAGCAGCAGCATTAGCACAAGAGAATATTCAGAAGCACAAGAGGAAACGAGGAGAATAAGTTGGCAGAGGAACATAGATAATTCATGCGGCACCCATTGGCATACCACGTCCCAGAATGATGTCAATCAGTGTTCTTGGAACCTGCTCAAAAGTCAGTTGGCCAATGGGCAAAAAAGACACAGTGGTATATTAACGACAAAAAGGAACTGAACAAACAGGGCCCATTAAACAGCATAGAACAGCTCCAGCTTTAGTTAGGATTTATTTTATGTCTGATTCTGATCCTCTTTTCTCAACAAAAGTCCTGTTGTCTTCATTTTGTGCAGCTATTTCATTCCATTCTTCCTCAAAGCAGCTTGCAATTATCCTATTTTATCTTCCTAGCAAATCTTTAAATAATAATAATAATAAAGATTTTCTTGGGCTATAGAAGTATGTGTGCATTGTCTCTTTTTCAGGTCGTAGTGTCTATTCTAAGGTTACCAGACGTCCCTGTTTCCCGGGGACAATCCCCAGATTTACAAATCAGTCCCCATACAAAAACCATTGAAGTTGAAAAGTATACCCAGATTCACAGAAAAAAAATCTGGCAACCTTAGTCTATTCTACAAATCAGTTACTTTCCATGTGAGACATTGATGTTGTGTACAGTTGGGAGAGGTGAGGAGAGGAGGGGGGAGGTGTGGTAAACTCACAAACTTTTACTTAATGTATGTGTGAGGTTGTTGCGGGGTTTGTTTGTTTGTTTGTCGTCAGCATCACTTGGGTAGATTCTCTTTCTATTCGTTGATTATATTTCCTTGGTAGTGAGAGATATTGGTGGCTGGCCCGGGGCATGGCTGGCTGTCTTTAGTTGGCTGTCGAGAGATTTGTTTGCGTGCGTGAGAGGACTGTTAGGTCAAGTTAGCCACATTGATTCATATGCCGTCGGTGGGTTCTTGTTGTTGTCTTGTTGGGCTGTGTATGTAATAAAGGGGAGCCATACTGGGGTGAAGGTGTCCTCTTTTATTTGTCCCCGAGTCAGTTTCAGTCTGTTGGCTAGTTTTTCTAATAAGTCTGTTTCCCATATTATTTGATACCATTGGTCTATGCTTACTCCTGACAGGTCTTTGCAGTGTCTGGCTGTGATGCTTCTGGCTGCTGATAGTAGGTGGGTTATAAGCTCCTTATAATGTGAGTGGGCATTATTATCTTGGGAAATGTTCAATAGGGCCAGTTCTGTGGTGACTTCTAATACCCGCTTAGTTATTTTGCATATTTCTTGTAGGACTTCTGTCCAAAAGAGTAGGATTTTGGGGCATTCCCACCACATGTGGAGTTTACAGCATATCTCTGAGATCGGTATACAGATATATACTGTATTTATTTGTTTGTTTGTTGCATTTATATCCCATCTTTTTCTCTGAGAAGCTCAAGGTAGCATACATGGTTCTTCCCCTCTCCCTTTAATCCCCACAACAACCCTGTGAGGTAGGTTTATGCTGTGACTGCCCCAAAGTCACACAGTGAGCTTCACAGCTGAGTGGGAATTTGAACCCTGGACTTCCAGGTACTAGCCTAACATGGTAATTCTAATTACAGGTAGGTAGCCGTGTTGGTCTGTTGTAGTTGAAACAAAATAAAAAAAAATCCTTCCAGTAGCACCTTAGAGACCAACTAAGTTTGTTATTGGTATGAGCTTTAAAGCTTTACCATACCATTGGTATGAGCTTTAAAGCTCATACCAATAACAAACTTAGTTGGTCTCTAAGGTGCTACTGGAAGGAATTATATTTTTTTTAATGGTAAGTCTAAGACTATGACACACAATAGTAGTGTTGCCATCTGGATTGGAAACGGCGGTAAGTACTAAACTTAGTACAGTGGAACCTCGGTTGTCGAACGTAATCCGTTGCAGAAGAATCATTCAACTTCCAAAACGTTCAACAACCAAGGTGCAAAGGGCTGCCGGCAATTTCAGTTGTGGAAATTGTGGAAATTCCAAGGCGGGTTCGAAAATGGAAGCAATTACTTCTGGGTTTTCAGCATTCGGGTTCCGAAACGTTCAGCTTCCGAGACGCTCAAAAACCGATGTTCCACTGTACTGGGTCAGTAAATCTTATGGCACTCCAATAAAGACAATAAGAGAATGCAACTAGCCTGTTCCTACTAAAGCAGCAGCAGCAGCAGCAGCAGCAGGAGGACATATCCTCTATACTTACTACAGATCACATGGTGAAGCCATGTTCTCAGGAGGAACACTAAGACCTTTGGGATATGCCAGAGCATCTGCATAGGCCAGCTCCTCCTCCTGGGCATATTCCAGTTTCTGTGACACATCACACAAGTAAGATGTATCAGTAATGCATCCTGGTGACAGGAGTGAGCCAGCAGTAAATCACACCCAGGAAATTAGAGTTATCTCTTCATTAGCAAAAAAACAGGATCTGCACAGGAGTGTCAGGCCTAATGAGCACAGCAACTCATCTTTGGCAGGTCTTGACCCCATGAAGCAGTTGCTGAAGGCATCTGAAGGCAACTGTATAGGGAGGTTTTTTAACGTTTCGTGTTTTGTTATGTTTGTATATAAGTTGGACGACGCCCATAGTGGTTGAGGCAACCCAGTCAGATGGGCAGGGTATAAGTTGTCAGGAGTTCAGCCTACACTCAAGTAGGACTCTGGCAGAGACACATGCCCGACTGGCATGTTCCCTCCCTCCTGGTCAATTGTTCGGGAGCTTCAAAAGCTTTCTTCAGCCTGAACATCACAGCGACCGATGCCAACCGACACCGGCACACTTAGGGATCCACAGAGTTTGTGCAACTTGCGTGACAGACCTCAGCATTTTGGCTAATCTACTTTATTTACATATAAACACACATGGAGCACTGCAACATGGCTCCCTCTCTCTCTAGCATCAGACAGCAAAGGGAAAAAGAACAAAGGACAATAGTCCCACTTCACGGAACACAGTAACACAAACATCCTGTTTCCATCACTTCCCACTCTGTGGAGTCAAAACATATACCGTCATGTGAAATACAAAAATCCCATGACTGCAGTCATGGATCAGAAATTCTAACATAAATATGATGGTGATGATGATGATGCAATAGGACATCCCTATTTTTATTGGAGAAATGTTGGAGGGTATGTTAACTTACTGATTGCCCATATGCTTGCCCTTCCAAATGTGCATAACTAGGGACATCAGAATAGGTTCTAAAAAAGGGGAAAGGGGAGTCCTCCAGGGAAATAATACTTAGATAAATTAAGATTCCTCTTTTTTCACTTCTTTGGCTTTATCAGCTTTAAAAAAAGATTACTATTCAAAATGGAATTCTTTTTTAAAAAATTAGTTGAAACTAAAGTAAATTGCCTTTTTCATTTGACAATACAAGATGGTACATTTTATAGCACCTAAATATTCCTAAGTCAATTCTTTAGAGCCTCAGAGATTGATTTTGAGTAATGTTCACTTTCCCCCACCCAATTCAATTCTCTCCATGTCCGCCCCCCAACACCCCTCTTCAGGATCACAAGCTCATTGTGAGGCTAACAAAGGCTGTGAAAAAAGCTCAAGTGAGAAAAAAAGGAGTATCATTTTGCCTCTTTTTGAATTTTGTATGAACCTGTTCCATGTGACAAATTACCACTGAATGGTGTTGTGTAATTTGTATTCCATTGGTGTTTACTAGGAAACCTATTAAATATACAGGTTCAAAGTCACCATGACCATAATTCTGTGAAACAGAAGAAACTATAAGTATGATCCACATCCTACAGGAGTGACTGGCAAAAATAAATTTTAAAAAATTATTGACTTTACTGACTCCAACTTTCATTTTAATTTGCAATTCTAATAGGATTTTTTCTCCATCGGGTCTTCTTGAGATTAAGAGAATGCACAAGATCATATATATATATAAGGATTCTGTCCTTGGTAAAAACAAAATTGTATTGAGTTTTTTAACAACAGCTGCAGGGTTTAAGGACTGGAGAATGGAATTTACATCAGCTTGAAAATTAAATTGAGTCATATTTACTGCCTTATACATTTTCTGATAGGAATTAATCAGAAAACACCATAATAAAACATTTAAATGTCTAGTCAAATGATAATCTCCCCCTCCCCCCAAGTACAGTTGCATTATTTTTCCTCCAAGCTAGAATGTCAGAGACTGTTCTCTTTAACAAAGTATTTACTCCCTGATCAATTACCTACAGTGCTGATTCACAGATAGCAGTGAATTAATGGCTGGCTTATAAAGGCTCCTCTGGAGGCAAACTGATTATGCCTGTTCACCAACTTTTCCCCCTGCCATCTTTATACAGATTTACCATCTGAAAAATAACATGGACAAGTGTCAGTTTAGATCACTACGCTTTCAGCACTCTTCGGCCTTAACTTGTTATTTCGGTCAAACTGTATACATATCTAATATGCGTTATGTCGGTCAAATTATGTCAGTCAAACTGCACGCACAAATAACAGAAAAGAATCATTATATAGCCAGGGCTCTTATTCAAGCCAGAATAAAAGATGGGCACCATTGCCAGTTGAGAGAACAAAGGAGGCATTTATGGTGAGTTGCAGCAACTCTTTTTCTAGAAAAATAGCACTGTATGCAGCCATCCTGTTGTGCTCTAGAACTTCACCGTTGTGTTCTGGATCACTGACTTTTAACAACTGGATAGCAGATAATCCCCCCTTGTGCATTACAATAGCCTACAACATGTGAGGAGGCAGTTGAGATGAGTGAGATGGTCCTCATCACCATTCCTGGTTGCCTTCCAGTTTATGAAGGGAGCCTTTTATACCCATTGAGACTTCCACACAGTCTAGAATTCTAATTTCCCAGGTTCCAAAACACAGGGAGTCTCCACAGAGACAAAAACTCCCTGGTACAGACTGTTGCCTTCCATGAATCATAGAACTGTAGACTTGGAAGGAACCACAGGGGTCATCTAGTCCAAGCAATGAGTTGGTAAATAATGGGAATGGTGATGGAGAGAGGATAGAGCCAGCACCTTCATTCCTGGCTCCTCACATGTTTAGCATTAGGCTCATGTAACACCTGTAGAGGGTTATCATTGTGCCTTGTTGGGGGTTATACTGACCCCACTGCAACTGAGCACTAACCCAAAGACTAGTTGATATTAATGTTCATGCTTAACCAAGCAAGGTACAATGAAGTCAAGCATAGGACAGAAGGCATTGGATGTCCCTGCAAGCAGATTGTGAAGGTGGAACAATTATTACTCAACCACAAAGTAGTCTGTCTAGTTCTGAAAGCGACCAGAGATCAAGGCATAGCCAAACTTGGCCCTCCATCTCTTTGGGACTACAATTCCCATCATCCCTAGCTAACAGGACCAGTGGTCAGGGATGATGGAAACTGTAGTCCCAAAACAGCTGGAGGGCCAAGTTTGGCCATGCCTGCATTAGATAGATATTTTGGCAACTTTAGGAGGGAAACTAAAATGTTACTCTTTATATAAGACACTAAGAATTCATGAGAAGAGAAGACTCCCTGGAAAAGGCCCTGGTGTTGGGAAAGATGGCGGGCACAAGGAGAAGGGGACGACAGAGGAAGAGATGGTTGGACAGTGTTCTCAAAGCTACCAGCATGAGTTTGACTAAACTGCGGGAGGCCATGGAAGACAGAAGTGCCTGGCGTGCTCTGGTCCATGGGGTCACGAAGAGTCGGACACGACTAAATGACTAAACAACAAAAAGAATTCTGCCTACGCTTCCTTATACTTCTTGCCAAGCCTAAGTCACAACAAAGCCTTTTCAGTGCTTGTTTCTAGAGCTGCACCAACAACGTAACAGCACAAATAAATAATGACAAAATGGCAAACAAAAATAACAACCCCCCCTCCCAGACTGGAAGCTGTCTGAGCAGCAGATCTACACAAATATGGACAGCAGGTCCACATATTGAGAAAACATGTCTCTCACGAGGCTAGGTCCTTAAGCATCTCCAGGAAGGTCTGCTAAGTATAATTGTTTAACTGACACTGAAATGGGGACTGCCTAGATGTGTATTACTGAAGGGTTTAAAGTGAGGAAAATTCACTGAAATTTACTAAGTGGTCTCTGAATTCCATGATGGGTTGATAAGTAACTTGTTGTTTTCTGATAGCTAACACATGAGTGTTTAACCTTAGATCGGGTGGCAAAGGTATTTGGTTGCAAGTCTGCATTTTAAAAGGGTTTTTGTTCTCAGGCTCTGTGAGAGTAAGAGAGACAGCTGTGTTTGTCAGCTCTGATTATAAGTTTCTTTCATTTCTAAGCAGATGAACCTATGCTGGACTTGCACAAGATTTTGCCTGAAATTATTTGGATGTGTCTTTGATGTTTTTGTTCTGTTATGAGGAAAGTTCTGCAAGTGAAGCTTTGAATAATATCTAATGGGTCTGGACAATGCTTCGTTCCAAAAGGAGTCCCTTTTTTATGCATGCAGTCACTTCAAGCTGCACAATATTAATATCTGCGATGATGGCTGGGAAAGACTGATACCCTGGATAGCCACTGCTAGGCAGTTCAAACAGTACACAACCAGATGGACACTAATGGTCTGATTTGGTATGACTGTTTTTTATATTCATTCCAGCAAAGCTTTATGACATTGTAAATAGCTTCTGGCAGTAATACCCCCATTCTTCCCAAAGAATCTTTTTCCAAACAAAAGAGCCATTAAACATTTCCAGTCAACAATGACTCTCTTGGAGAAAACATTAATTAATTTGTCATGCTCTCTTTTATTAATAAAGAAGG